TTAGACTTTTTATTATTTCGCTAGATTAGTTATGTTCCTTTTTTGCTGGCAAATTAATACGTCTAACCGAATCAAAGACATTCAAATTTACAATGAAATGTTGTGTGTTCGTGATTTTTTTCGGAAGGCCGCTACTTCGAGTCCAGTTTGGAAGTAGATTTAAGTATAAGTATGTAATTGATAACCTATCAAATAAATCAAAAAAATTTCGCTCATTGAAAGATAATATTGCGTTGCTATGTCATAGCAACATAAAATGCACAGTTACAATATTGACATTAGTGAAAAACACCGAAAAATTTGCCGTGGTATTACCACGGCATATCCTAATATCTAGTCATGTGTTCTGTGTGTTATTCTATGAGCCTTTTTTTTGTTGATGCTATTCGAGCGGTCTTTTACCAAAGCATGAGGCTGAGGGTCCGTAATGGGTTTTTGGATTCTCATCCTTTAATATAACTTTTTTATTAAAATGCTTAACTAAATCTCAGAAACTAAATCTTAAAATACAAAAAATCTAGTATCTCTAAAAATTATTTTACTTTAAAATTTATTGTAAGCAGATAAATAAAAAAGTTCTGGTCCATTCTGTAATATAAATCTTTTTGCTTTAAATATCAGACAATTGGTTGAACCTCCACTTACGTGTGCCATGAATAAGTTTCAAATAAAATAGGTAGGTAATATTTCATTGATACGATGTACTCAATTTCAATTCCTTCAATGTCAAATCAACAATAAAGAAATAAAAAATTATCTGCGTAATAAACTATATCAATTTCCATTATAGGCATAAACAAAACAAAAGAGACAGTTTTGTCGTATGAAAGGGAATTCTTAGTAATGGAACAATGAAAACTTAAATAATAAGCATATTATTCCAAAAATGAAACCAATAATATAACGTTTTAATAAAATTTAAAATGAACCTATTTGTCAAATTTTGTAACGCAGTAACAGATTGTTGTACAGAAATATACTGTTTGTGTACAATTTTATATTCAGTTTTTTAATCAGAAACAAAGGTGTTGGCCATAGTTCATCTTTTTATTGCCTTTTATAACTTTGTATACTTAGTCACAGTTAAAGTTCTCCAAGCACTTTAGTTTTCGACCATTTGGATCAGTGAATATATTTATTTATTTGAACTGGACAACCATAACCATATATGTTAAAACATACTTTAGTAGATTACCTACAATTAGATTTCAATAATAAATATATACTCGTATATATATATACCGATTTTATATTGACACAGCATTCTTAACATATATGTTTAAATATATTTTTAAAGTATTTGCCTTAAAAACAACACTTACAATTCAATTTACCACCAATACCAAGTTTCAGGCACTCAGATCAAAATAATATACGTGCAACATAGATCGCAGCTTCATAGAGCACGTCAACCTTAAACCATTACCCAACCAAATCTAGATCCATAGAACGAAAGAGTTCCAAGTTGAAAAATACATCCAGGTAAGGCAAATAAGAACTAACATTATTGTATGCAGCAGAAATACGAGGCAAGGGTGAATACTTAAAAACATTTGGATACAGGTTTCCTTAATACGTTATTTGAAGCAGTTACAGAATTATATATATATATATATATATATATATATATATATATATATATATATATATATATATATATATATATATATGTATATACTAGCTGACCCGGCGAACTTCGTACCGTCATATTTTATTCTCTAATCGCAACTGAAAAAAATAAAACCCTTCCGGTAAAATAAACACTTGCTTAAGAAAGAATTCATTAGTACATTATATTTGTTTACATTCACGACATAAGCGAATAATTGAGATGATAACTATCCTATCCAATAAGTTAGACCAAAATACGGGTACATGTGAAATTTGATTGAAATCGGTTCAGTTGTTTTGAAGTTTCTGGGCAACATACATCGTGATATATATAAGATATATATATAAAATCTATCTATAAAATCTCTTCGATGATTTGCTAGCGGGTGCAAATCATCGAAGAGATTTTATAGATTTCAGCGCGTATACAAAAATGAGGGATTTCATAACCCAAATGATCAAAATGGAACGAACCATATTCATCGACATCGGTATATCAAATTGGTGACCATTATAAATCTGTTTCCACGAGTTCGCCCGCGTAAATTATAGCCTAAGTCATGATGAAAGAATTTTTAAATTATCCATAGATTTGGATCATATAAAATGCAGATAAATTAACACTCAAATCATTCCTCTTTAGAATATCAATAATAACCAGAGTAGGGAAGACATTATTATTGCCCACTTACCTGTAAGTAGAAAGAGTAAAAATAACAATTTTTCTTTACTCGCATGTTTTATAGTAAAAGTGTGTTCTCCGAGTAATACATATAAACAAATCGACTTCAAAATTTAAATATATCTAGAGTACGTAGGGAAATATTATACATAACTATTTTTTATTATTATTTTTACATTTCACTTACTGTAGTGTTGGGTTAAAACTTTTCTTTCATTTGACCTTCGCATGACTTTCGCAAACATTGTCTAGCTACATCCATTACGATTTAGCAAAACTAGTAAAAATAAACAGGTTATGTTTTGTAATTATTCGATCTATGCGTAGATTATTTCGATAAAATTTTGTAATCGTCTGTACTAGATTATCATAATTTGTATAGATTAATCTATCGATTATTTGCGGCATGGTAAAAAAGACGAACTCTTCATCACTTATTTCAATAGCGCATTCGATATTGCGCAGAAGTCTCAATAATCATATATAAATGGTAAATTTACTGCTTTAATTTCAAGACGTTAAAGTTAATTCTTTTTATAAAAAAAAATTAGAAAAACGCATTTAAAAAAAATAATAAAAAGTAACAATTTATGGAATCATTAGAAATGTATAACATTTTATATTTGAAAATACGTTCGATGCGAAGTTGAGAAGTTATTTAATGTCAAATTTATTACAAAATTAAACAAAAAATTATAATACATTCCAAAACCTCTGTTTTTAATTTCAGGCTACAAACGGTGTAAATGGTGAAAACACAGAGGAGTATGTGAATAAGGCATATCAATCAGACGGCTTTGATATAGCTCCAAACCAGGAGAAAAATGACGTAGAAAAGACAGCCAATAACTCAAAAAACAATAAAGTAAGTAAGTTTTACAGAACATACATAATATTTCTTTAAAAATACAAAAAAGTACTTAATTATACAGCATATTCATTTAATAAAAGAAGTGACACTGCAAAATGAATAATCACATCTAAAAACATTATTAACCTTATTCTCGTGTTAATGGGCAAAATAATAATAGGCAACATTTTCAAATTATGCTATTTAGAATAACTGATAAGCACTGTCATATTAAAATTGCATATTAATACGTTTTTGAAAAAACAAATGAACACATTTGTTTATTCTGTATGAACACATTTGTGTATGAACACGTTCGATTTAGAAATGAATTAATTTCCAAATATTTTCAATGTGAAGTCCATCGAAAAATCTAGTCGTGTTTTGTTTTGAGTAGGCGGAATTTATTTCCACATCACCCAAAGGTTGACAGCCAGAGAATGCCCAAGGTATTAAGTCGGCTTTTGTTTAAGTAATAATAAAATAAATTAACGTTTCTACTTGCAACCAGAAATTTTAAAGTGGAAACTTGTAAAGACGTCCATATTAGCATTATAAACATTGGCTCATATCTCTTATTTGCCGTGAGTTGTTCAAAGTAAAAAAATTGTTTCGGTATGATTTCGATTTCCATCCCTGCAACAATATAAATTATTGTAATAAAATTATAGAGGCATTTAATTTGCAGCATATTGCGATTTAAAAAGTAATAAAATTGACGTTTTCAAGCGCCCGAATCTTATTTAAGCTATTTATAATAATTGATGAAAAGTTACAAGTAGATACAATAGGTATTGAGGTGTCGAGGTTATGTATGAAAAATTTATGAAATATAATAATCACTAAACAAGAGTAATGTCTATTTAACTACCTACAAATATAAATTAGAAATGGTAAAATCTAACTTGGTTGGTTCGATTGGAGTGCGAAACGTCTCAATTGCAATGTCGATCGGTGGCGATTGTCTTCGGGAGTAAGGGGGCTGGCCCAAATCTAGAGGGGGCAAGTCGAAGCACTCTCAAATAAAAAAAATAAAAGAAAAATATCATCATAAAAAATTCGGCTTAACGGAGCGTTTAGTGAAAATATATGATTTGAAAAACTATATATATATATATATATACTGTTTCATCCCAATAATTGCATATTTGAGTTCTTCTTTACTTCCTGTTTGACCGAAATAAACCTGTTTTTTGTTTTTATTATTATTCATTCCAATTTATCTTTTTCATTTTAGGTATTGATTGTAAAAGTTCATAAATTAGATTTTGAAAATTTTATTTACATATTTTCCATGGAAATACCATATCTGGATTACGATAGCACAAAATAAGGTACTAATAGATAAATTAGATCGAAGATTACTTATTTTATCAACGACAGTCGAATTAATATGACTTTGCAAATCCTTTATCCATGCTTTGTAAATATATCGTCATTGTAGATTTGATTTATCAGTTTATTGATTCTAATCGTGTTTTCTAATTGTGTCCAACTTCCTATCTAAGAATGAAATGGCTACGGCCTAGCTTTGATATTGGTAGTTAAATGCAAAGGCTGACTAGGCTCGACAAGCTCGTATTTACGGTAAAGATAAAAAAAAACTAAAAACAAAATAAAAATAATATAAACAGTTTGTTCTGGATTTCCGAAAATTATAATATATAATTTTGATATAGCCTTCGGTCCTCTCTGTCTACCCTGCCAGGGATACGGCGTGATGATAGTTTATGTAAATAAAACACTGTGCATAATACGCTTACGCAGCAAAATTAAAAACCAATTTTGTTTTCATAGATATCAAAAGAAGATCGTTCTGTAGAGCGGCCAAAATGGGACAACCAACTTGAATTCTTGATGTCATGCATCGCCACATCGGTGGGGTTGGGCAACGTATGGCGTTTCCCCTTCGTCGCTTACGAAAACGGAGGCGGAGCATTTCTTATACCTTATATCATAGTCCTTCTTGTTATAGGAAAACCTATGTACTTTCTTGAGACTGTTCTCGGTCAGTTTAGCAGTAGTAATTGTGTCAAAATATGGGCTCTCTCCCCGGCTATGAAAGGTAACCGTATTAATAAATTTCAGTAAATTATAAAATTAAAATAAATTGCTTTGCATCTACGTTTCAATAAAAAAATATTCTAATATTTACAAAATGACATACTTTTAATTATAAAAACCACTTAGTATATACACAAAGTATTGTTACTTCAAATTTCAGGAACTGGATACGCTCAGGCTTTGGGCGCGTCTTACGTATTGTCTTATTACGTGTCGATTATCGCCTTGTGTCTCTATTACTTGGCCATGAGTTTTCAATCCACATTGCCATGGTCGGTTTGTAATCCTGAGTGGGATCGATATGAAAACTGTGTACCATCAGGACAACCCGCTCCCACAGGCATGATAGGCAACTTATCGAGTAGTGCAGAATTATATTTTACGTAAGTAATATATTATACCTACTAGCTGTTTTCCCGCGATTGCGCCCGCGTAAATTATAATAACCTATGTCATTCACATATAATGTAGCTTCCCATAAGTGAAAGAATTTTAAATAAGGAAATACTTTATCTACACCAAAAGTCACTTTTCGCCATTCGAGAGTAGGATATCGTATGGGTGCACCCGAAAAAAGTGTCATTTTAGTGCAGACAAAACGTTATCGAGTCATCATGCTAAGCGTGCAGTAGTTTCATAGCCTTTTCTGTACAAACAAACAATCAGAACGTTTCTTTTTAAGGTATTAGTATAGATTTGTTAAGTAATGACAATTTTACCTTAAATTAGATACTGATAGTTTAAAATCTGTATCGTTAGATTAAAATCATGAATAAGTAACCAAGGCTCATTATTATAAGAATTACAAATCAAGCGTAGGTTAAGGTTAGGTTAGATATAATAAAAAAAATGTAAACAGATAACGACGTTTACAATTTTACCTCGACATATATATATAATCTGCAGTGCTTTTCTGATAAAAAATACAGCGTCGAGCACAGCGCTGTCACGGTTTTAGTGATTCGATCAAAACTCGATATAAGCAAAGCCTATGATAGAGTTTCACATGAAATCCACAAAGTAGTATCCTAGGATGCATTTTATTCCTATAGAAACCAAACTTGCCTTTCAAAATAATAATATAGAATTTGTATCATCTTGTACATTGCTGGGAATAGAAATTGATTTAGACACAAGTTTGAAAATACACATTGATGGAGTAGCAACCAAACTATCAAAATTTACTTATGCACTAAATGAATAAAAGAAGAGACAGACTTAAAGTCAGCTAAGTGTGCTAATTATGCCTATGCCAATGCCTGGCTCAGTTACGGAATTATTCTATGGGGAAACTCTCCGGACTTTGGCAAACTGTTCGTTTTACAGAAAAAATGCATTCGTATATGTGAATATAGAGGACATAGAGAGCTGTAGACCTCATTTTATAAAACTCAATATACTTACTCTAACTTCAATCTATATTTTCGAAATTTGCAAAATTTTTACGAAAGCACAGTCATAAGCAATCTCCTTAAACTCATTGCTTAAGAAACCGAAACAAATTATTTATTCATTTTAAAAATCTCCACCTAGTAAGTTCAGGAACATACCATATCTCGATAAAAATATACAATAAAATACCAAAATACACTAAAGATATAGAATTAAATGCAATATTTTACAAACACTTAAAAATTATTTAATAGACCGATGCTCCTATAATTTAAAGGAATACTTGGATTAAAAACTTGTAATTGACGGATTGTTTTCGTTTATAATTGTGTTTTAACTTAACTTGAAATTTAATAGTATAAAGTAAATGTTATAATGATTTAACGGAAATTTATGTGTCTCTATTAATTGTAATTTTGTGAAGCGATGTATGTTGCAATGTCCTTGCAGGACACATGTCGAGGAAAATTTTATGTAAGAACATATGAACCAACATGGAGCAATAAATATTATGACTATGAAAAAAACAACCTACTTAGCTGCAGTGAACAGTGTTTTGCACTCTCTGAATGAAAGTATCGCTAAGATTTTACCTGTATGCATTGATGTAACACACGGAATAAAAATTTGGTTGCGATGCAAATATACGACTTTATCTATCGGTCTATTTTAAAAGGTAAAAAAGTGATAATTAATTGTATTAAATATTATAAAGAGATTTTATTGTATGTTTGCATTAAATACGCGGGCGAAGTCGCGCTAAAACAGCTTGTTTTAATGTTGAATATCCTATTGTTTGTGATTGTACGTTTAATCTAATCTTTATTCCAATATGTTGTATTGTGATTAATTAACTTAGTAAGTGTCATATGTGCATGCGCCGAATAAATGAATTTGAATTTAGTTCTTTATAAAACCCAACCAAACGGGGAAGGCGCGTTATGCTACTCTTTATCAATTAAAATGAACTATTTATTTGCCGATTCGATGCTGTATTTTTTACAGATAAACAAAGTTGTAGAACGTCATTCAATTAAGTATATTTCAGTAAATAGCTTTACATTACATTTCTTTCTCGTCATATCGGCACCTCATTTGGTGCCATGATAAGATTACGATCTCCATGGTTATTATATCTGTTAAGATATCTCCAGTTTCATTTCGGTGTAAATACCTCATTATAAAGATTTAATTTGATAACGTCATATAATTCCTAAATTTTTTATAACAATATTATGCAATTATGTCGATGATAATAATTATTTTTTCATGTCTTTGTAAGCTTACTGAATTTAGTCAAAGATCTTTAAAGAATTGTACACACGACTGCACGTCAATCTACTACAATATGTCACATTCCCTTCCAAAACAAGTTGAATAATTTTCTATAGGCTGACATTCTGTTAACTGTACCTGAGTTAATTATACAAATATGGAATTCGATTACAGTGAAAATACGCTCTGTAGTAGCGAAAAAGTGCTTGAAAAATTTGTCAGTTCTGTTATGTCCTTAGGTTAGGTAGCTACTGAGTAAGAGCAGCCGCCTGGATTGCGATAAGTGATGGGTTCGAGGCCCATCTCAGAGTGCCAGGGACAAAGCGAATTTATTAAGCATTTTTCGTGAAGAATATTTTTAGCATAGAATTGTGAATGCAAAAGGAGAATGGGCAATTTACTATGAGAGTTCGGCTATTTTTGCGTAGCCGTGCACATTGTTGGAACCAATGGCAAACGATAGAGAATTATTTCTATAATGAGTAGGTAAAAAACCATTTTAAAATTATGCCGGAGTTTGAGAATATCTGAATATTTAACAGAGATTTTAAGGTTATGTCGTTATAATATCTATGTATATAAGAGCAATAAAATAAATATTGTATTTCAAACAATCGATGAATATAAACATTAAATTGCGAAAAAGTCTAATCTATACCTATATTACAAAAAGGAAAGATTGAATTTTAATTAAAATTGACTAATATAGTACCTAATTAACATTATCAAAGTTAAAATACTTCATATTGTAAAAGTAATGGTAGGAAGTTCGCATGTCAAGTCGATCAATAACTTGAAACTTAGTAGGTAGTCGTAGTTATATTGCAGTAGGTAGGTATATACTCACCACTAAAGAAAATATTATAACGAATGTCACTAGAAATCCTTATTTAAGATATTTAGGTATTTATCTAATGTAATCTTGTTATATTTATGTATAACACCAAACATTTTGTTATATTTATGTATAACAACTTAAACACGCATGTTTCTTCCTCCGTGAAAACTTATCCTTATGCCTACACGAATAAACAAAGCCTATTCTTTCGGATTAGTGATGAATGTTAACTTGGCCAATCGTTGGTTCAGTTTGTACGCGTCATATTAAGATTCAATTAATTTGTCTCTTAATTTACTATGAAATAGCGTACATACCTTTGTTCATGCTCAAAAGCAAACCAAAGAAAGTCTTATCTTAGATTTTTTCGATACGAGATTAATCCTTTATTTTTCTATAATCGATAAGGCAATCATCCTAATCTAGTCTATGTTGCATGGTTGACATTAGTCTAAATTGGTCAGTTTAGCCATTGTTTTAATACGGTTAATTTTAAACGCCGCATAATTATATAATAATATTTATATAGCATAAATTATAATTAAAGAGAAGATTTTTGATAAATAAATGCGTAGTACGCAATTTATGTCATTTTAGCCGACTTTTGCCCATTCTCCTTTATAAAATATTATTTGGTTGCTTGGAAAATTAATAAAATATATGGTTCCTACTAAAGATAAAGCTAGCAGTGAAGTAAACCATTGTAATTACTTTTACAGACAAACGGTTCTGCGACAGTCTAATGGAATCGATGACGGAATCGGTAAGTCCAGAACTAAAGCGTCAGCTTTGTGTAGCTCTTGTCATGAACAAATTTAAATTCACGACATAAGCTAATGTAATCAGCCCCCTAACTAAATATATGAATCGAATCCGCGTAACGACACTTGGAGCGAAGCAGAGCAGGTAGAGCTTTTTGACTTGTGAAACGTAAAAAATATAAGTTATAGAGAATAATTAGTTGAGATATTGCACTTATATTAATTCAGAAACCAGCCTATTGTTTTTGAACTTTTGAAGATCTTTTGTATTTCTTATAGATACTTTCAAACTTTCTCATACTGACTGTTAAATCCTCTTTAATTGAATATAATATATATAAGAGCTATTGCTGACTAACAACTACTTATCAAGCGATAGTTTGATTGGATTTTTAATCAGTTTGCAATTATATGTCTAGAGTCTGGGAGGTATTAAGTTAACACTTTGATATCTCAAAAGAAAGAAAAAACGAAACTATTTCTCCCACTCTTATACAGTATTTGAACGTTTACAGGTGCACCTTTATGGGACTTAACTTTATGTCTGTTGGCATCATGGATTATAATTTTCGTCATAGTAGCTCGCGGTGTAAAAAGTTCCGGAAAAGCTGCTTACTTTTTGGCCATATTCCCATACATTATTATGTTCATATTACTTATCAGGTGAGACGAGTCCTTCTCCGATACTCGATTATGTATGTTTTAAATAACTATTCAGGTTATTATAGCGACATTGCATTTTCCTACAGAGCGGTAACATTGCCTGGAGCTGGCAAAGGAATTCTGTTTTTCCTTACACCGGAATGGAATAAAATTTTAGAGATACGTGTAAGACATTTCATAATTGCAAATTAACTGATATTCTTGTTTACCGCAATATTTTCCTGTTTCTAATTATTTGTGTTATATTTTTTCAGGTATGGTACGCAGCTGTAACACAAGTCTTTTTCTCTCTTTCCGTATGTTCAGGTGCCCTCATTATGTTTGCTTCGTACAACGGATTTTCTCAAAACGTTTACAGGTGAGAATAATTTGTAAATATTATATTATTACGCTTTAAGACCTTAAAATTTTGTCTCTCATTCTCTATCTGTCTACCTACACCACATTGGACCGGCAACTTGCGCTCCTTCTCTTATCGTTTCTATAATTCTGTTTTCTGTGATCTTAGAATCGTTTTTATTATCTCCAAAAGGAAGTTTACATATAGATACAGAAAAACTTGTAAAAAAATCCTATACTGTTTTTAATATTTGTACGAACTATCGTTTACAGGTAAAATTTCGCTGAATTCTGATCAAATTTAATTAAATTTTGTTAAACTGTATTTAATTTGTTTCAGGGATTCGATGATCGTCACTACTTTAGATACTTTCACAAGTCTGATATCGGGTATTACTATCTTCGGTGTGCTGGGCAATTTGGCAGAACAATTACAGTACGATGATGTTAGCCAAGTTATTGGATCTGGAGGAACTAGTCTTGCCTTTGTCTCATATCCAGATGCTATAGCGCAGTCTCCTGTTGTACCACAGGTAAAAAGAGAGTAATATCCCCTTTATCAGTCATTGAGTAAATACTTATATTGATACACAATTATTAACAATATTAAATATTTCAACATTTTTAAATTAAGGCACTTATCAAAAACTTTTTTATATGCTCTGAACCACTCTGAATTGCCGAAAATATTAAAAATATTATCGTTACTTTTACAAACTAAATCTCATATAACTATACAAAATTCTTGAGTCATTTGATCAATGTATGTGATGTTGTCTTGTACTTACTTATTTATTTCAGTCCTCTCCATGCAAAGGTTGTCTGGTAGAGATCGCAGTTAGAAATTTTCTTTTACAATTTGATTACATAAAAAAAGATCACAATCGATAACATCACATGTTATTAATTCAGTAGAATACAATGATTTATTTGAATTACGGAATTTGTTTGTAGCTATTCGCGGTACTCTTCTTCCTGATGATGGCGGTGCTTGGTGTGGGTTCTGGTGTGGCTCTACTTTCAACTGTGAATACTATCCTTCTCGATTCTTTCCCGCGTGTCCCCACAATAGTGATGTCAGCAATTGCTTGCTCAGCTGGATTTGGCATTGGACTTATATATGTCACACCGGTAAAGTAATAAAATACTTATGAAGTTTACAATCAGTGGCGTAGATATGGCCGAAACGAGTCCTCGCATTAAAGGACCTCGCGAGGCTGTTTTCACTGACCTTCGCTACTACCGATCGATTAATGGTATATGATAAATAATCGTCAGATAAGATCACAACGATAATTAAATATTGTATATACACAAAAAAAATGTTAGAATAGGATGCTTTTGCTTTCTCTCGAACTCCATCGCGATTGATCAATATTGCAATTGTGCCGTTGTGTACTCTAGATTGGGGGCACTAGCATACTCTGGCGCTAGATATATAGTCTACCGATCGCGATGGCGTTCGAGACTAAGTATGCTGATCTGTGAAGTAGATACCTAATCTGAATAGAACAGGTACAAATATGATCCTTTTTCGCGCCTCTTATTTTTGAAATCGAAATTGAACGCAATACATTTGTATTTGCAAATTGACATTACTCTACTGTGTTAGGTTTTCAACGAGATCGAATAAATAGTATGCGATAAAGTATACTTAAGCTCACTTACTGAAAGAATAAGTGGCCTCTCTAATGCAATTTCACCTCTTCATAGCACCCATGCTGCTCCACTGGTCAATAAATTTGTAACGGAGTCCGGGCTAGCTTAGATTATAGAAGTATTAATAGTAGAAGTAGTCAAATGAATAGATTGACACTTAATTACTTACCCCGCTTCTGGGGTTTCCTTAGAATGTATGCAGACTAATACAAGTATACGTAGATTTATATCACAGCATAGATTTATATATTATGTACTTTAAAAATGTTACATTCAATGATAATCGTGTTGTTGCCGTAAGAATATTTACGAAGTGACGTTCAGAATGAGCATTACGTGGTTCTTAAAATTTCAAATCACGAAAAAAGATAAATAAAAAAGAAATGATCGTAAAAATCAGACACAAAAAGTTTGAATGCGGAAACCTAGGACAAAATAAATGGTGTGGTACAAAACACCGTTACAAAAAAAAAAACAAAGTTTTGAACTATATTCAATACCCATATAATATTATAAGAATTTAGATTACTATGAAAATTTAATAACAACAGATAATCTTATTTTGACATTACAGGGTGGACAGTACATATTAGAATTAGTGGATTATTATGGAGGAACTTTTATGAGATTGTTTGCTGCGATTACAGAAACTATTGGCGTCTTTTGGATCTACGGTAGGTTTCTTATTAGTTATTCGTATCTATATCCTTATCCTTCTTACTTATAAATGCGTAAGGCTGTGAGAATGTATGGATGTTTTTTACTCTTTCCTGCAGATGCCATATTTCTTGAAATAGCGGTCATCTTAACTCGATGACTTGAAGTAATAATAGATCATGAATTCACCATGGAGAGTATTCTAAGTAAATCTTAAAAACCTGCTAAAGCGTTTCATTTCAATCGCGTTCTATGCAATCATAATGATATTAATTAAGTATTTTTGCGGACTGATGAATTTGAAAAAAAAACGGTTCGCAATTAGGTCAATAAAATAAAATAATAACTTACTAATGATTGTAACTTGCACTAAATTCTAACTTTACAAATATTTTCTTTTTTAGGACTGGAGAACATATGCTTGGACATAGAATTCATGTTAGGCATTAAACCTTCAATATATTGGCGTTTATGTTGGGCCATAGTGACACCGGTGATCATGATTGTCGTGTTCATGTACGCCATTATTACTACTGAAGCTCTAGTGTTCGGTGGCACCTACTCATATCCAAGTGGAGCTTACAGTACGTATCAAATTAACACAGCACAGTACTCAAATTCCAAGATGAGTTAGCTAAAGCCTCCATATTATGAAGTATCTGAGACAACGAAGGTACCACAACACCCGAAACAGAGACAATATAAAAAAGACAATTTTCTACATTGAACCGACTAAGAAACGAACCTCAGAGATGGCGACCTTGAAACCGGCGTGTGAACCACTCGGCTACGGAAGTAATTAATGCAAATTGTCTTTTCTATAAAGCTTTTTGGTCTAAAACGCAAAAAAAGAGTAGTTAGCGCGTTTGATCTGCGATACCGAAGCAAACATTTATTATCCAGCGCACATGTTTGCTGTCGTAGATTCCAGTTTATCACTGGGTATTTACATTATTTATTAAAATTATTTATCAATATTGTGAATGCAAAAATGATCAAATATAATAGCTGTTAATTATCTTCACACTAAAACAAATGACCAAATCCCAAATAAATTATTTTAGATAGATAGTTTGCTACAAGATTGCTACCATGTACCTTGTTTTTATTGAATTCTCGATATTTCGGGGCTGTGGCGAGGGTAATGATCACGAGCAATATAATATTCATTACAATAAGCTTGAAGTTCAAACTTCAATCTTATTGTAATGTTATTCAATCTTATTCAATCACCAAACTAATAAAAACTAAAAAAGTTTTAATTTCTCTTTGCAGTTGCCGGTAACGCTCTGCAATATATCGGTATAGCACTGATTCCAGTAATTATCTTTATTACTATGTGGAAATACAGAACTAGCAATTTCATCGAGGTAAGTTTTGTGCTAAATTTATTCCGACATACATACATTATACTTGAATGAAGACCTAACGAAATTACTACTTACAATAATAATATTCAGAACCAATTTATACATTTATATACAGTTAAACAGAAACCATGTCAGTCATCTGCCTACCAGTCACAACTGTATACTCAGATACCTGTTCAGTCACTGATAACTGCTATCCATCATAATTTTCCCAACGCCACTCAATAAAGTCACAAAATTATAAAAATAATATTTTAATCTTCAGTGATGAAATTGGCAAAAACATAGGCCGTCTGCTATTCGATAAGGGCCATTCAACATTAAATTTCTGTATGCCTAATGCCTCTTTTAGTGCTATTTTAGAAAAATAACAACAAAATTACAGCGAAAATACCACTTTACTGTTTTTTATCGGCAATAGAGGTACTTTGAACAAACATAAACTATTGAAATAAATAAACGAATTAAATTCATAAGTTTACGTTGCCGTATTGCAATAATTTGTCCAGCGAGGAAAATAATTTGCGATACAAATTGAATATGACATTGCACACTATATGCAATACTGCAAAGTTTCATGTCATTGACACTAACAAGTATGTTAGAAAATTATATTTGACCAAAGATTCCTATTGAGCACTCTTCTATTGACATGACTTTCAATAATAATCCACCTGACATTGCGACAAATTCGTCTTTAAATTAGATATTAAGACAACAGAGGATTCTTCTTGCTTGCTATTGAGTAGACAAAGTAATAATGGAACCAAGAGTTTATCAGATATCAACCTAGTGCACCAAAATGTTCAAGGAATGTTGAGTAAAGAGTTAGAAGTAGAATTATTCATGAACTGTAACAATATTGATATTTTCTGTGTTACGGAACATTGGTTAACAAGTTTGGTTGGTAGCTCCTTCATTAAGAAAAACGTAATGCGTGGTGGCGTACTAATTTTATTAAATAAAATGTTTAAATTTAAAGAAGCCTATCGGTTCAGGAAATAATAGAGATTGCCTGCATAGCTGGACCAGCTGATTGTACTGAGCGTATATAGACCTCCTTCAAGTTTAGTTTCTCATAATGATCTTTTTGAAATAGTTATGGAAGAAGCTTTTAAAAAGGTATATAGCAAAGGCAAACGATTAACGATTGGGGGTGATTTTAACGTTGATTTATTAGGAAACTCCAATTCATGTACAAGACTTGTAAATCTATTTATGTCCTATAATCTTGCACATATGTCTACTAGAGTAACTGCTACTTCGTCCACATATATTGACAACATTTTTACAGATCTGATACCACTTTCAAAACAGATAATTAAACAACTACCGTCAGATCATTATGGACAAATAGTTAGCTGTCCGCATAAATGCACGTTTGTGGGTAGGAGAGACATTACAGTTGTGTCAAAAAGTAAGAGTCACTTGGAATGTTTTATAAATCAATTAGATAGTAAATTGTATCATTTGAAACATAAAAGTACATTGGTTTAATGTAAATATTCTTATATTTAATGAAGGAAAAACAAAATGCCTAAAATTTGTACTACCTAATGTTAAAAAAGTAGATATAAATGTTAATATAAAAGAAAAGAACGTGAGCCTTGTGGATACCACAGTATTTTTGGGAATAACATTAGATTCTAAACTACAGTGGGGACCACATATTGATAAAATTGTCGAGTAGACTTAGCTGTGCAGTATATGCCATAATGATACGTAGGTTAACTGACATAGATACTGCCAGATTAGAATACTTCAGTTACTTTCAGTGTGATGTCGTACGGAAATTTATTGTGGGGAAATGCTGCCGACATACAAACGATTTGTACTTCAGAAAAGAGCAATTAGATCAATTTACAATCTTAGGATAAAGGACTCTTTAAGGGAGAAATTTAAGGAAATAGACATAATGACTGTTGCATGTCAATACATATATAAGAACTAAATGTACGTTCGTAAAAACATTAGTTTGTTTTCTATAAAAAGTGATGTACACAATTTTAATACAAGAAATAAAAATAAATTAACGGTGCCTGTCAGTAAACTGCAAAAAGTTAATAAGGTCCCAAGCAAAATACAACAATTAGATATCATGCAGTTTAAATCTACTATTAAAAAAAATACTTATTAAAAAAGCTTATTATAAGGTATCCGATTATATAACAGATAAGAATGCTTGGACTTGAAATAATCCAGCAACTGGATTAGATTATCTTGCTTCCATTATTATTAAATGATTATGTTATCATTATAAGACCATAGTTTTTTTTCTCTCTATTTATATTATTCTCTCTATCATTACTCCTATCGCCCTCTCGTCATTACTCCTATTAGAGCTGGTGAGTTTCTTCAAATCAGCCAAAAGACGTCTTGAACGAGCGGTAGGGAAAAAAATGTTGGACGATTCAAAAGTACTTTTAAGAAGTCTATTTGATTAAAGATTATTTTGACTTTGACTGCCTTTAATACACAAAATTGCTAATAATTTATACATATATAAAAGGATATGTACTGACATACTGACAGACAACGCACAGCCTAAACTGGTCGTAGAGATTTGAAATTTGGAGTATACATTCTTCTTATTACGTGGAGGTGTACTCAGAACGGATATTTGGAAATTCCACCCCGAACGAGGTTAAGAAAGGTGAAAACATTTGTATGAAACTTCTTTGTTTTTGGATCTATATCGATGAAAATTGATATTTGAGTAGTCTAAGACCCTGGTAAGGTAAAAGATTATATTTTATCCCGAAAACCAGCACTTAAAAGGATAAAAATGGGAATGGAAGTTCTCATGGCGAATCAAAAAATGCAAATTCGATGAAGAATTAATGTAAAAAAGCAAACTACAAACATTGCTAATTTTCAAAACAGTACTACATAATTCTATCTGTTTAGAAAGGTTATTTTCTCATCATTTGCCTGTCACTGATTGCTAAGCAACACTTTGTTAGTAAACATTCTTCATCGAATTTGGCTGTAGTACCAATAGTGTCTCCGTAGTTGAACATCAAAGTTATTTTATTCTAACATCGCGGATATTTTTCTATTTATAAAATTAATAATTGTGTTTCGTATCATTGTCTGGGCTTTGTACAGCCGCACTGTAGACGGACGTTGTGATGGTTACTCAGCTGATTGACGTTAAGCCGTGCAAATGAATGGTGGTATTCTAATATAGGGCGAGCTAATTGAACGGATCTTTTACCCAGTTGGCTCAATATTTTTTCCATCAGTTGACATATACCGCAAACTCGTAAAAAACCAGTTGTGAGCTTAAAAGTCGACCATGCAATCGTGATAAATATTATCCTTAGTCTATATATTTCGGTAAATGTTTGGCAATCTCTTATTATATGATGTAATGAGCAACAAGGAGAATCGTTTAATTATTCCATACTAATATTTTACATGTGAAAGTAGGTCTGTATATATGTTTGTTACTCTCACGCCTAATCCTTAAAATTGAGTTGTCTTGAAATGGGACACAGGTTGCTTTTAATTGTGATAAAAGAGTGGATAAAAGGGAAGTTCGTCATTGTCAAAGATGACAAAATTATTATACAGGTACAAAGGTCGGCAGCGCACTTGTAGCTACTCTTGTGTTGCAGGTGTCCATGGGCGGCCGTAATCACTCACCATCAGGTGATCCGCCTGCCCGTCTGCCCCCTATCCCATGAAAAAAAAATTTACACAATATTTTAAATAGATATTTATTTTAGCGTTTTTAGAAATGCTACTTAAAGTAACTATACCACGCTGACGAAGTCGCGGACAAAAGCTAAGTCTAAAGTCCAAAGAATAATAATGATTATATAATTCCTAATCACGTTCTTTCATATTCATTTCAGACTGTCAAAGTTTCGTTTAATAAGAAGCCAACGTACGGACCCCGTGATGCTGATAAACGTATGGAGTATAAACAATTCAGACAGGACGCGAAATATAACCGAGCACTTAAAAGGAAAAATTGGTTCCATCATATTGGACTCAGCCTCATCGGAGGTTACCCTCGTTATAAATACAGTGCGGGTGATGACGCCGATAATAATCAACGATAGGGAAGATTAGGGAAATGTCAGTTGTATCACCAATCAAGTTCTTACTACCTAGGGTTGCCAACCGTACTCTTAAATGGACTATTGTACTTTATATCATGTAGCATGACTCTATAATCAACACACTAATAGACACTAATAGAGGATGCCAACACTACACACTAATAGAGGACGCCAGAATATTCTTTTTTACTATTTATTACTTTGTCTATTATTTATTACTTACACTTATTGAGAATATGTCATACTCATGACTTAAGCAGAATTTTTAACCAATTTAACAGGAACATAAATGAAATAAGAACTGTTAATAGTTACAATACTATTTTTTTTAGGGATATTGAAATAAAAGGGGTAATGAGTCAGTAAAAAAATAAATTCTATTTAATCTGTCAGTCAGGTAATATGACAATATTAGAAACATTTTTTGCTTAAATTTAACAAGAAATGGCTTCGATAAATGACATTAAATTGGAGGAGTGGGGGCTCGTAGAAAATTTACAAAGTTGTGTCGTCATAGTGACATATACATTACGAAAAAAATAACAAATACATGTTTTATATACTTAATAATCTAGCTGACGGATAAACAAATAAAAATTAGTCTATTGATTAAAAATATTTGCTTAAGTTATAACATTCTGTCAAGTAGGTAATTACTTCTCTTGTCTATAGATACGAGTGTTCGTGGCTCTCAGGCATAAATGACGTACCTATTATCGTAACTAAAGAAGTACAACAAAAAAAGAACCGTTTTATGAATGATAAATGAATGGTACCTTTTTGTAAGTCCGTAAACTCTATATTTACCTCCTTTGAAATCTGACATACTCTATTTCTTATACCTAATTAAAGTTGGCAACTCTAGGTCTACTACATAAAACGCAAGGTGATGTCACTTAGTTTTACCGACAAATCATACTAGTAAGTCTTCCTCATGAGCAGGGAGTTTACTACAGAACAAGGAAAAAGGTTAATAACAAGATTTCTTATAGATTAACAACGACAAAATAAAGGTTGTTCTTATTGTTCCATTGCGTATTTAAAATCGTTACTAATGTTAACATTGCTTAATAACAGTACAAAATGTGATATTATTTTGAAAAATTAAACAACACTAGAAATATATGTATAACTGTAATAAATTTTATTGTATCGTTTTTCCGGTGTGCTGAAAATTCCAATGGCCTAATGATAAAACCTAAGTAATAGTAAAACCTAGATATACTTACATATTATATTACCACAGATACAGATATTACCTAGCCATAAACACATATGTATCGTCGTCGTTTGGTTAAAAATAAATGTAGTTCAGTAGTGATCACTAATTATTCAAATTTCTAATTATATACCAGTTCATGAACGATTTAGGAATGTTTTAGAAAACGTTGTTTTTAATATTACACGCTTGCACTTTGTATATTTGTGTAAATTGAAAATACACAATAAGACTGCAAAATACATATCTATTAGTTGCGCTGAATATTGCAGAATGTTCTGTATGTGAACTTTTTATCAATGGGACGTTAAAGACGTACAGACCAGAAGGCAAAATATTTTTAGAAATAAAGATATTGATTATTTATTTTATACGAATAGTGTGTTTTATTATCCAAGTTCTAATATTTTGGGTGTGACCAAGTTACTCTACTTAATGACTCTAATATAACTATAAGAACATTTTAATTTTTCTATCAATCAAAACGTTAATATTATTTTAGAATAATGTGTTTTTTATTATTTATTTATTTATTCAAATAATTTGATTCATCATATCATACCTTACCATGGCATAAGCGACTAAACGTATTGTATAAAGTTTGTGAAACGTTAGCATGTTTTGAATAATAACTTAAATATTATTCTTCTATAACTCTTAAAAATGGAAAACTTGAAATATCGTGTTATTTACGAGTATGAGTTTCACCGTGGTACCAGTGCTGCGGAAACGGCTCGAAGGGTTAATGATGTGTATGGCGGTTGTGCCGCAAAAGAAAACACAGTGCGTTTTTTGTTTCAACGTTTTCGTTATAGAAATTTCGACCTGCAGAACAAGCCCCGTGGACGGCCGAAGACGCTAGTTAATAATGAAGAATTAAAGGCTATTGTGAAAGCGGATCCATCGCAAACCACGTCCGAGTTAGCTGCATGCTGCGGTGTTAGTGATAAAACTGTTTTATCCACCTAAAGCAAATTCGAAAGATTAAAAAGCTTGAAAGGTGGGTTCCTCACGAATTGAGTGAAGCAAACCGGCAAACGCGCTCTGACTGCTGCGTTACATTACTTTACCGGCACAATAATGAAGGGTTTTTAAATCAAACCATTACGTGTTATGAAAAGTGAATTGGACCCTGACATGCCAGCCAAATCCTGAACCAAGCGAAAATTGTCCCCAAAGAAGTTACTTGTAAGCGTTTGGTGGACTAGTGCCGGTGTCGTTCATTACAGTTTTCTCAAATCTGGCCAGACGATTACGGCAGACGTCTACGAATATTGTCAGCAATTGCAAACCATGCTGGAACAACCAGCTGTTAAACAATCGAGGCTGGTGACCACACACCGCATAACAGACGGCTACCAAATTAGAATAGTTTCAATTGGAATGTCTAAAACATCCACCTTACTACCCGGTCCTTGCTCCAACGGGTTACTTTTTTTTTAGAAATTTGGATAACTTCTTGCAAGGGAAAAAATTCAACTCTGATGGGGCAGTGATTTGCACTGCCCCATCGTTCTGTCACAGAATTGCCACGAGCCTTTAAAGATTTTATTGATTTCCGTCCGAATAGTTTTTTAGTAAGGGGATCAATGAACTACCTATGTGATGGCAAAAGTGCATAGATAACAATGGTTAATACTTTGATTAAATAAATATATTATTTTAAAAAATATTCGACTTTTTATTCCTCCCATACCGAACACCAATTTCTTATGTAAATACCTAAGAGTTCTTATTTTATTAAAATTCTTTTTTATTTGTAAAAAATATATGCATAAGTACTTGCTTTTACTCAAGTAACTATTTTTTTGGACCACAGAGACAGGTGTTAGTCTGCCCCGGCCTCTATAACCTTCCAATTTATAGTAAATCTTGTATTATATACCAGACACCAATTTCATATTTAAGGACATAATATTAAACACTTTCAAATATGAATTTATTTTTGTTTAAATTTGAAATTAATTATAAAACTATACGTTCAGCGCTACACCTCGAGTTATTGAAAACTTTCTGCGACTTCGCCTGCGTAATGTATAGCCCTTATCACCCACGTTGATGTAAATTACCGAAGGTGATAGAATTTTCATGATCGTATCAGTATTTTCGAAGATTACCCCACTACAAACAAAATTAGAAACTTTATCTCTTTATAATATTAGTATAGATTTATCCAATGGTATTAACCCGACGAGCGAAAGGTTAGAATATGTAACACAAAGCGCCAGGTGGGTGTGGCACACCCAGATAGTAATTGTGTGGTTTTAATATATTATTATTTTTAATAATTATTTTCCTGAATACTAAACTGATATTTACTTCTATTTTAACTTATTTAAGATTGAAATAAAAAAAAATATTATTATTTATTTATGAAATTAACAATTTGAACTTATATTTATTAGTTAAGGCACATGTTTATCACTTTTTATCAAAAAAATGAAAATAAAAACAGCATAAAGTATTTTTTCTTCTAATATACTAAACATAACAACAAAATAACACTTATACTGGAAAAATACTTATTCATCTTGAGATAATAAAAAAATACTTATTCATCTTGAGATCTTGTGCAGTTTTCACAAACGATAATGGCATGTTCCATACCTAGATAACGGCTGCATTGGTAGCAAAAGTATTTAGTCTTGCGGTCTTTTTTGTAGAACATATGTCACATACTTTTTGTGGTGGTTCTTTTGGGGATTCACCCCCATGATCTTGAATTCTTTTACGAATCCATCTCCGAGTCACTACCAGATTTGTCAGAAGAACTGACTTCAGCTGATTCGAAAAGACTTAATAATTTGCGTTGGTTATCTTCGTACGACATTCTACATTTTTATCCTGCAAATAAATCAAAACAATACCAAAAATAATAAAAAGAAAAAGAAATGTGTTTGTTCAAATTCATTACAAGTAGCGTAAGGTGGGTTTCACGCACCCGCTGACAGTTTCAACCTCGTACACACCATTTACCGGGCGGCGGTCGACTAAAGCAGTGGCAGTCGACGCTTCCGCAACACCTCCCGCGCAGCTACTCAGACGCGGGAAACGTAATAATAATCCGTTATTAAAATATTTATCGATTTTTCTAGGTCTGGGTGTACCACACCCAACCTTACGCTCGCCGGGTTAAATCTAAATTCGGCTAAGGTTAACAATTATTTCCATTTCAATAGTGATAGCATTCCGATTAATTACATCTTCGTCACTGTTTTAGTTACTTGCACGCGTAGCATGAAATATGTAGAGTTTGTCGAGTTTGTCTACATGACGCGTGCTGGGGTGCGACCGCTTAGGTAATTCTCTACACATGACTTGGCTATAGAATTATTGAAAGCGGGAAATTGAAACGAAATATGTATCGCCATAACATTGCTATGATGTTGTATCCTATGGCTAAACATGGCCGAAAATTTAGGCGGTCGCACCCCTGAAAAAAATGAAAAAAGACTTAGGAAATGTCTGTTCACATTTAACCTAGCTTTTGTAGCTTTACTTTGGTCCAAACATGTCTTTAAGTGTTCTGTGGGTACAATTTTATTTACAAATCAAAATAAAATTATTATCTCATTCCGTACACCCCAATGAAGTTCTGGGAATAAAAAAGTCTCATAAAAATTATAATTTTAAATGAAAATTCTAATTTCAAAAAAGAATTTATCAAATTATTGATAATAGACTTCAAGACATAAAAATTAAAAAATCTGGAAAACCGGATACAATGAATGTATTTTCGTGAATCCTTGTCTATTGCTTTATTAAAATTTAAAATTATTTA